AAACAGAAGGGGCAATGGCAAGACATTCTTGGTGCCTCGCGTATCCCCACGACCTGGAGGCCGCCGAGGAGTCGGAACGGAACCGTCTGCACTCTAGGCCCATCGAGGTCAGGCTGGTTGATTTTCTACGCGACCTGGACCCACGCTTGGACGACCAATGCAGAGAACATACCGCAGAGCGTGGCAGGAACGTGGTAGGCTCCGAGGCCCCCGAAAGCTGGGACCCACCCCTACTGCGCCCTTTCCCGAAGAGGGTCTACGGCAACTTGGTGGCGCCAACCTACTTCCCCAACGACTTTCACTGGCAAGGCAAGCGGCTAGCCGCCGCCCGCGTGGTCGCACAATTCTGTGCTCACTCGACCGACCCCACCATATTGCCCAATTGGCTCCAGCACTCAGGTCAATGGCCCTTGCGTGGTCCCTCCCCCCTACGCGACACCCTGGAGGCCCTTGTTGGTTTCCTGACGCAGGTCAGTTCAGATAAATTTGCCTCCAGATCATTCCACGAACTGGCCAAGGACGTTCCCTTCGGAGTCACGCAGGAACTGTGCAGACAGATCGGCACCACCTCTATCAGGGCGCACAGCGACAACGAATGGCGGGCACGACTCGGCGAGGCAGCACTTTGAGGCGGCAGACCCACCGGCAGAATTCCACACCTCTGCCCCCCGCGCGCCCGAAATCCCCGACTGGGGCAACGAGGTGGTGCCCTCCCCCGCGTCGTCAGTGCGAAGCGGCACCAGCCCTCCCTACAACCGTAGGGCCAGCTCTCGCTCCCCTGACGATACCCACCCGCGGCCCCGCCGCTGACGCACCCCCCCACCAGGTGGCCAACTCGGGTATCCTCCCTCCCGCCACGGGAGACGACGATACAGCCGGCCGCGGGGACGTGGGCTCGGAAACCTCTGCGGGTGGCTCCCCCGGCGGCAAGCCCTCTTCGCGCCGGGGGCGCCAAGGGGCACCTTCGGCTTCTGAGCTGAGCTCTGGTTAGCCGCCCGGCCATTTTCGCTGTCCGCTCGCCACCCGCGGTCGGCCTTTAGTTCCCTTTTTCCGCGCTCGCCTGCTGTAGTGTGGGCATCTGTCCTGCTTGTTGTAGGCTAGTTTCGTGCGACTCCACGACGCCGCGCGGCTGTCCGCTTGCGTTTGCGAACAAAAATGTATTCCCACCGGCTCTTTTCTTCTCGTCCTAGTCTCGATGCGCGTAATTCAGGCCGCCGCTTGCTCGTTGCGCCCTTGACGCTGACCGACTTCTCGACGCGGTCGCGATCAAAAAGAATATCCCCACCGGCCCGTCCACAAACAATCACCGTGCGAGTTGCTCTGATCAGGGATGCGTAGCATCATGCAGCCACGCGCTGGGGGCCGCTTGGGGGCATCTTGGGGCCACAGTCGTGCCCCATTGGGTCCTCTTGGGGCCATTTTGGTGGACCCCTCTTGATGCACTCGTGGGGCTTTCTTGAATGCTTATGGGCCGCGCCGTCGTTGCCTCTCGCGCGGCGGCGGCCCCGACTATATTCTCTCTCACGGAAGTCACGGCGCAGGCATCATCGTGCGGGGCCACTTTTGAGGCCATCGATTGAACGTGGTGGCGGCGCTAATGTCATCCCACCCGTCGGCCCGTCGGGGCCCCCCACGTCGCCGTTTGGGGCCCTTTCGGGGCACTCTTGGTGCGCTCTGGGGAATTGATAGGGAGTGGCTTCGGCAGGCGGTGGATACAGGCATACCTTGTCACCCCGGGGCCCCAAGGGGGTGGATGTGGCCTCTCGTGGAGCTCTCGTGGGCCATGGTGGAGCCATCTGGAGGCTTCACGCTCATCGGACGCGAGACGGCGAGAATCCACAACATATGGACTTGACAACGGTGTTGAACGGATTTGGGCATCTCGGTGTGTCTTTGGGAGGCCCTGTGGCCACTTGGAACAATATTGGGGCGATCTTGGGGTTTTTTGGCGGCATAGTCGCAGCTCTCTTGAAATCTGTTGGGCAGTCTTGTGCGATCTTGGAGTCCATCTTGGGCTAGGTGGTCCCCCATGGGGCCGTACTTGGCCATTTTGGACTCCTCCTATCCCTCGCGGAACGCCCCCTCCAGACCAAGGGGAAGTAGGTGGAGGGGTAAGTCTTTCCCCTATAGGGAAGGAGGATCTTGCAATCATTGACTCACTCTTGACACCACCTACGGCCGACGGGCTGATGGGATTCGTTGAATCGGGAGGCCTTCCCTGCCGATCGTTCGCTGAAGGTCGGTACCTTTAGATTCTCAATATTCGATTGCTTTCAGGCGCAGCCCCCCTTCACTAGTCGAATGGCTACCATTTTCTTTTTTTCTTCAGGAGGTGGGTGGACATCCAATCGATTGTGAACGCCCCCCGACTTAGTTGATCTATCCACTTCTTCCGAACGATTGGTAGCGGTTGGGAAGGGCCAGTCCCGGGACCTAGTTGAAATGGGCGGCCCTACGCCTAGTCAGGGAGACTGGCAATTCACTTTGCCAAAAAGGAGAGCGTACAAGATCGTGAGAAGCATGCCGTTCGCAGCCACGTCGTACGTCGCAATCGTTCTCAATTCTTTGTTCATTGGCGTCACCATGCAGAATCAGATGAACGCAGCACTCGCTGGTAAAGAATACAAGGAAGCGTGGTCAGACGCTATCGAACTCCTGTTTGTGGTATTTTTCACCATCGAGCTCTTTATCAAAGTTCTGGCGGAGGATTATTACCTTCTCTTTAGCAGCGATTGGACGTGGAACATCTTGGATGTGATTCTCGTGATCGCAGCCTTGCTGCAATTGTTGATGGACGCGATCTACGGTGGAGATACGCCGAACGTCTCGCTCAGCCGGACGATCAGGCTGTTTCGTATCACGCGGGTCCTCCGGGTCGTCCGGGTCGTCCGTGTGTGCCAGAGTTTGCGGGTGATGATTTTCGCGATCTTCAAGTCTTTAGATGTTTTGTGTTGGGTATTGGCGGTACTCCTCTTCTTTAAGTACATTTTCGCGATGATATTCATGCACGGTACCATCTCGTACGTCGACTCGGTCACCGACGGTACCGGTGGCGCCCTTTCTGCAGACGAGTACGCCTACGTGACAGACGGTTTTGGCACGATCGTTCGAGCGATCGTGACCCTCTTCGAATGTATCACAGGTGGCCGCGACTGGGGGGAGGTGTACTACGCCTTGGTAAAGATCGGCGTGATGTACGGCATATGTTTCCTTATCTACGTATCCAGCTGCCTGCGGCAAGTCCCATCACCGTGCCAGCTACGAATTTTCGGTGGTGACTTTTCGAAGAGCCCACGGGAATCCGTAATCAACGTGTGACGCATGATGACTGGGGAGAGCCGTAATGTGCAGCACGCTCTTCCGCCATTGCTGGGTTGTCTCTCTTCGTCTTCGTCGTCGTCGTCGTCCCTTCCTCTTTGGGGGCCTCTTGGGAGCCGTTTCGGGGCGTCACGGAGGCCTGCTGGCATGTCTTTGGGGCCTCTCGGGGCCGCTTCGGGGCGTTTTGGGGCCGTCTCAGGGAGTTCTCGGGCACACTTGCGCCTTCGGGGTCCGTCTTGGGTGCTCCTTTGGGCCGTCTTGGGGCCCTCTTGGGGCCCTGAAGGGTCGCATTAGGGGGTCTCTCGGGCCGTCCTGGGGCCTCCTTGGGCAGTTGCGTACGTCTTTTGGACCGTGCTGAGGGCATCTGAGGCCATGGTGAGGCCCTCTTCGGTGCTTCTTGGGCCGTCTTCGGGCCATCTTGGAGGCCTGTCTCTTGGGCCGTCTTGGACTGACGGGAGCCCGAAAGGGTAAGAACGCTACAGTTCTCTTCAGGCCAGCTTGGGCCGACTTGGGGCCATCTTGGGGTGTGCTAGAGGCATCTTGGGCCATCTTAGCGGCTTTCGTGGCCTGCCTCGCCCGTCTTGCAGGCCATAGTGGCCATCTTGGGCTCGCTGGATAGCCCCAGAAGGGGCCTTAGGCCGCCCAGGAACCCTCGGGAGATAGGGCGGGGGCGGGGAGGGGGGGGGGATGGCGATGCACGAACCCGGCTGCGTCGAGGAGGACGGGGCTGTGCCGTAAAGGTTTCATAGAACGGGCAGTCCCCCGTGGCATTTTGCCGCGCCTCCAGCAGAGGTACGACCACGACGATGTCGTGCACTAGTTGGTTCAGCGGCCACGGAGGAGGGGGAGGAGGTGGAGGAGCCGACTTCCCGGCCGAATTTCTTGGCGGATCCTGCCGTGGCGACCCCCGGCGCGTTCAACCAGACGGACACGCCGAAGACAAATTCTTCTCGTCGGATACTTCATGGTTTTCCTGGTGCTCAACGTTGTTATGCAAGAGGCTTACGCCAGATCGCCGACTCCCACAAGAGGGGGGGAGTCCACGGATGAGGCTTCGTGGGCGTCTTGGGCACAATCTGGGGTTTTTTGTGGGCGTCTATGGGGGCTTGGCGGGCCTCTAGGAGACTGTTTTGAAGCGTTTTGTGGGAGCCCTTCGGGCAGTTTTGCGGCGGTCGGCGGGGCCTCTTGGGCCAGCCGTGCTTGAGCGTCGGAAGCTCGAGAAGACGATAACCGCTAACGGGCGATAGTAAAGTACCCCCCTTTCCCCCCTTTATTGTTATCGATCCCCGATCGCAGGGATCTATCTATGGGAAAAGGTGCGTGGGCCGAACTTGATAATCCACGGGCAAGTAGCGCGGATCGAAATTGCGATCGTATCGTGCTGATTAGCAACAGCATCAAAATCGCTGAGCATGGCCATGATGGTCTCGCCACACCAGCTTTCGCAATCACGAGCGTGTGGCAGGGTTGGGATTCTCACAAGTTCAGTTTGCCCGCGTTACGACCGTGCGGCAGGGCCATGGGGCTCTCATTTTTCTAGCCGTTCCCGAGTCAGGAACGTGTGGCAGGGCCATAGGGACCGATTGGATTTTGATTGTGCATGCGTTTTTCGAGCAGGCAGAGCACTGGAGTTAGTTAGTTACGCGACTTATTTTTAAGCGCACCGCTCACACGGTTCGTGGCCCTTCCTCCTCCTGCTCCTCCTCCCCCCCTCTGCCCCCGCAGCTGCCCAGGCCCAAGCTTCCCCGAGTCTCCGAGAGTCCAAACTTTCGAGCCTCTTCGAGGTGCCAAGCCTCTTCGCCCCAGTGGCAGCGATATGGGGGGATAGGCATGCCTATGCATCGGCGATGCATCGCCGATGCGTAGGCATTTCTTTGGGGGGACATCGACGTGGAGTCTGCGATACATCGCCGATGAATCGGGCGCGCATCGCTGATGCATCGGCGATATATCGCCGATTCCAGGTCGATGCCCCTCCCCCCAGTGCCTATCCCCTCGCACTGTTGACCCTGATTGCGTCGCGAGCCCCAGCGATGGCCCGGGCCGCCGAGCGCGCAGCTGCCGCGAGCCTGCCCGTCGAGGCGCTGAAGCAAGTGGCGGCGCCGAGCCCGGGCTCGAACGAGATTCTCGAGCGCATGGCCAAACAGGGCGAGAATATCATGGAGAAAATGAGCTACGCCGCCGAAAATATCAGCATCGCAAAGATGCGCCAGTGCCAGTCGAGCGCGCGCGGCACGAATGCAGCGAGGATGACGAGCTGCTACTTCAAGGCCGAGGGCGCCTTGTGGTCGTCGAGCGCCCAGCAAACCGTGTTGGAGATAGTCTACTAAGGCGGGTGCCGCGAGAGCATCGAGTGCGGCCGCATCTTCAGCGAGAAGGACATGGGGCGCATCGAGCTGGCCGTGGCGGTGTTCTTCAAGACCTACGTCGAGAAGAACGAGCACGCGTGCGACATCTTCGAGAACCGCGGAGAGCCGCCCGGGGACTTTTTCTGGCCCGTCGCGACCTTCAAGGCCAAGTTGCAGGAGTTCGCCGAGAAGAAGGACATGGAGCTCGGCGCCGAGGAGGTCGAGAAGCCGACCCGGGGCTCCTACGCTGAGCGCATCGGGTTAGCCCCCCCCCAAGCACCCCCGCCGAGCTCTTCCACCTCCACGAGCTCGTGCTGCCGATCAACGAGAACTTCGAGCCCGTCGAGCACATGCGCGAGAGGCCTGCCGAGTGCCGAGATGCTCTTCAACGTGATTCCGCGCTGGGCCCGAGAGCGCGCCAGGTGGCGCAACGAGACCGCCGTGGTCTGAATGGCGACCGACGGGGCCTCCAAGGCTACGACCCTAGCCATTTTCAGGTGGTGCTGGTGCATCAAGAGGGCCGCGGACGTGAGCTATGGTCTGCACGAGCGCAGCTACCGCGACAAGCGCGCCAAGCGGGACTATTCGAAAACCGTCAAGCAGCAGACGCACGAGGATGTGCTTCTCGAGAACCACTGCAAGCTGCACTTCGGCAAGTATGCGTCGATCCAGGAAGAGCGCGACAAGCTCAACTTGAACAGGCGCGATGGCGAGGGGAGCCAGGCCAGCGCGAGGGCCGAGTGAGAGCCCGCCTCGTTCATGCTCGTGGACGCCTGAGCGCACGAGCTCCCCGAGCCAAGCGCCCCATGTTTTTTTTTTTTTTTTTTTTTTTTTTTTTTTTTTTTTTTTTTTTTTTTTTTTTTTTTTTTTTTTTTTTTTTTTTTTTTTTTTTTTTTCTTCTTTCGCGAGGGGCGCCGTTTCGGGGCGCGCGTTCGCCCCCCCCCCCCCCCCCATCTGCCGTTCAAGCTCCAAGAGAGCGCTCGAGCAGGCGCGAGTGGAGTTCCAAGCTGCGGGCCACTGCCCCCCCCCCCCTCTCGCCGAGTGATCCTCGAGCAACCATTAAGGAATCAAGCGGGCTCGATCCTGCATCCTCGGATCGATGATCCGAGATCTGAGTCCGAGCAGCTTCGGGCACCTTGGGCCCTAGATCCAAGGGTCGCCCAGCTTTGGCTCGAAGATCTCGGGTTTGCGATCCGAGGGTCGAGGATCGAGCCTCGGCGACCCTCGAGCGTCGCATTGCCGTCGGGCACGCTCGATCCCCCATCCTCGGACCGAGGATCCGAGATCTTGAGCCCGGGCATCTTGGGGCGCCTTGGGTCCTAGATCCGAGGGTCGCCAAGCTGGGGCTCGAAGATTTCGGGTTTGACGCCCGAGGCTCGAGGGCCGAGCGCGGGCGATGGTAGATCGCCCTCGCCGCCGTCCTCGGGCCCGCGCTGCCGCCCAGCAGGCTCGACCCTCCATCCCCGGATCGAGGGTCCGAGACCTTGGTCTTGGGCATTTGCGAGCACCTCGGATCCTAGATCCGAGGGTCGCTTAGCTCGGGCTGGGATATCTCGGGCCCGCGCTGCCGCCGAGCAGGCTCGATCCTCCATCCTCGGATCGAGGGTCCGAGATCTTGGTTTTGAGCATCTGCGGGCACCTCGGATCGTAAGCCCGAGGATCGCCGAGCTTGGGCTCCAGGATCTCGGGTCGTCGACCCGAGGGCCGAGGGTTGAGCCTCGACGCCTGGCGGCCACGCGCGCGCCGAAACGCGCGCGCAAACGCGCCAACGCACGCGCGCGCGCACCAACGCGCGCGCGCGTGCGCGCGCGCCCGCGCACTCACGCGCGCGCGCGCGCTCAAACGCGCGCACTCCCGCGCACTCACGCACACGCTCACACACAATAACACGAGCACAAGCAACGGCAGCAACGAGGGCAACACCAAACAACATAACCGCAGCAACGGCAGGGCATCACAGCGCCAAGACAAACAGCAGGGAGAGGCAACAACAGCTTCACACCTGCGCGCTCGCAAACAGCAGCGAGACAAAAACGGGGGAACAAACTCAACAATATCAACAAGAACAGCAGCAAGACAGACAACCGTGGCCAATTTAGGCTCAAGCATTCCAGGCCAGCTGAGGACGCGGCGCACCATGGCCGAGACGCAGCGCCCCGCGGCCGGGCCGGGCAGCGACGATCGTCGGCGCGTCGCCGAGCGGTCGGGCGACGAGAGCGTCGGCGAGTGGGCGAAGGGCGACGAGTGGGCGAGGGAGATGGAACCCGCCGCGCTGCGGGAGGGCGCCAGCAAACCCGAGGACAAGAGCCGAAGACAAGAAGCTTGACGACGCGAAGGCCACGCTCGAGCTTAAGAAGCTCGACGACAGGAAGGCCGCGCTCGGGAACAGGAGGCTCGACGACGAGCGGATGGGTCCCCTGCAAGCCCGCGACGACGAGGCAGCGCGATGCCTCGCAGGCCTCGGCCCCGAGTTCCGACTCAGCCCTGGGGCGCCTCGCGAGCCGCTAGGGGCTCTGAGCGATGCGTTTCCGGGCAGAGCGAGGACGAGGGGCCGGGAACTCTCGGCG